ATTTTTTTTATTTTATTTAAAATTTTTAAAAAAAAAACTTAAACAATTTTTTTTTTATAGAATTTTTAATAAAATCTAAATTTTTACAAAATTTTGATATTATAAAATATTTTATTGAATTTATTATTTTAAATCATTATATTTATTAAATATATTAAAAAAAAAATTAATTAAAATTTGTTTAACAAAAAGATTATTAATATTAAAAGATATGCCTTTTATAGTTAAAATAGGTTAAAAATAAATTTCCTGATAAAAATAAAAAAAATTACCTATTATATTTATCTTAGTTTATTTTTATAATCAAAAAAAATAATAAAAAGAAAGTTTTAAAAATTAACAATAATTAATATGAAATTTTTTATTTTTTATTTAATATATTTTTTTAATTATATTAAAAAATAAATTTAATAATTTAATTGTATTAAATATTAGATAAAACTACTTAAATTATTTATTTAAATATATTATAAAAATATAAAGAAAAAATAATAAAATAAAATCTTCTTATTTTATAAAAAATAGTAAAAAATATAATAATAATATAATAAAGTTATTAATAATTAATAATATTAGATAAATAAAATAATAATAATAAATATATTATTTTTATAAATTAAAATTATGAATATATATTATATTTTATAATTATAATTATTGTTTTTATTAATATTATTATAATTATTATAATTATTTTTATTATTATTATTAATATTATTATTATTATTATTATTATTATTATTATTATTATTTATTGTTATTTTTATTATTTATTATTATTTATTAATTTTATTACTATTATAATTTTTTTTTCAGTATTATTATTTTTAATTTTAATTATATTTATTTTTACAATAATATTTTTAACTTTTTAATATTTTTTTGTATAGAAAATTTTTTAATAGTTTTTATTTTAATATAGATATAAATTTTATTTATATAAATATTTTTTACATACTGTATTTAATTTTATACTATATATTTTTAAATATTTTTATTTTTTTATTTATCTTTTTAACTTTATTTGTTATATTTATTATCCTTTTTAATTTATATATATATTTAACTTAATACATTTATATTTATTTTATTATCAAATATTTACTTATTTTATATCAAAATTTTACCGATGTTTCTATAAAACATATTAAGATACTAATTAATAAAGATTTATAATTTAAATTCATATATATTTTTAAAAGTATTTTATATTGTTTTTATATAATTATTTAATGTAAATAAAATTAAAAATAAATAATTAATTTTTTAACATATAACAATTTTTATGTTATAATAATAAACACATATATGTATATATATATAATACATAATCCTCTCTATTTTATTTAAAACTTTTAATTATATTAATCATATTTAAAAAAAAACTATATTTATCAAAGTTTTAATTCTTATAGAAATATGATCATATGAATTCCACTCGACTTTCAAATTAACTAAAATAAAATAATTAATATATTTTTGTTACATATTTAATATTTTCAAAAAAATGCTGAAACATAATACAGAATTTTATATTTAATTTTTTCATCATATAAACATTTCTTTTATTAGAAAACATAATCAATCGATTGATTTTTCTTTTTGTAATTCTTTTATTTAATAATATTTATTTCTTTACTTAAAAGCATTCTGTTAAGATAACTTTTATTTTATTAAAAATTAAAATATATCCAAAGCAATAAAATTTAATATTAATTTCATTAGAATAATATATAATAAAAAAAATATATTTTTCTAAAAGAATATATACATATTATACATTCAAATCAAAATATTATAATTTTTTTTTTAAGTCTTTTATTTACTATTTATTATTAGATAAAAAATATAAATATATAATATAAAATAGCAATTAATATGATATAAAAATATTTAATATAGATATATTAAAAAATATATAAAATTAATAAAACTAATTATTATTAAATAATGAAAAATAAAAAATTACATATTAAATAAATATTAAAATAATTATTTTATATAAAAATTTTAAATATTTTTTTATAAAAAAAATTATAATTAAATTTCTCCTCATTTTTAATCATCCATATTCAATTAGTTAAGTAATAAATTAAATAGTAACATTGACAATCATAGTTTTTTAAGATTCATTTATGTTTGTTTTATTTGTACCATCACTTGATAAAAAAGTAAATTAATCTGTAGTATCATTAGGGTCAATTATTTTTTCTTAAATATCATAAACTTTTTTTACACCAATAACTTCATATTCGAGATTTTCTAAAAGTAAATCTATTTTTTTTGTGGCATCCTTAATTGCTTAGCTTAGTAGTTTGTCTCTAGCCAATTCCATTTGTTTATCATCAGGAGAAAATTTAATATAATCAACAGAATTAAATTCATTATTAATAGCATCATCAATCACTTTTCCAGCCTTTTATGAATTAGAAGATTTTATTAAAATTGAATTTTTAACTTTATATCCTTCAAAAACTCTTTCATTAAACTCTTTCATTTTATCCAGTTTCTTCATTCATTTAAGTAATATAACTAGAAGAATCAATAGTAAATCCACTAGAAGAAACATTTAAGTCTTCATCTTTTTTATAAATCTCTAATACTTTTTTGACAACTTCTTTGTTTTTTTAAAGAGCAGCTTTAACATCTTTATCCATATTTTAGTAAGAAACTTATATTTCAAATTAAGTATCATTTAAAGATGTAGATGCTGTTTCTTATACACTTGATGGATCAGATAGAGTACTTAAGAATAATTAACATTCGCATTATTAATTAGTTTCGTTGTATTATTATGATTATTATATTAATATTATTAAGAATAATAATTAAGGCACTTTCATGTTTTTATTATTATTATAACTTATTTAAATAATTTTATTATATTTTTATTTTAAATAATTTATATATATATTATTTTATTTTTTATTTTTACTGTGTAGTTTTGTAGTTATTTATAATTTTGATTTAAATATTGAAATAAATATTAATATTATAGTATTTATTAATAATATATATAAATGTAATTACAAATAAAAAATAAATTGTAATTACATATTTATAAAATATAAAGAATAAAAATCAATAAAAAAATAAAAATAAATACTATAAAAAAGTTTATAAATAGAAAAATTAAGTTTTTTTATTATTTAAGTATATTTAAAAAAATAAAAAATTAAATATAATAAATTATTTTTATACAAAGATATATTATGAAATTTATCTATAATTTTATTTTAATAAAATGATATAAAATTTAGATTTAATAGAAAATATATAAAAAATAAAAAAGTATAAAATAATATATAATTTGAAAAAAATAAATATAAAAATATAAAGAAAAAAAATAAGTATTAAAAAAAATAAATATTTTTTTTAGTTTATTATATATATTTATATGCTATTTTTATTTAATTTTTATTTTTTTATATTTTATTATATTTATATTTCAAATGAATAAATAAATTGTAATTTTGAATAATAAATTAAAAATCTAAAAATTATATATATTATATATAATAGAAAAGTATAAGAAAATATAAAAATATAATAATAAAAAATATATTTAATTTATAATAAAATAAATTTATTAATTATTTATATAAATTTAAATTTTATATATTTATAAAATATATATAATTAATTTTTTTTTTTTAATTTTTTCTATTTTTTACTTTAATTTTTTTATTATATTATAATTATAATATTAATTTCTTTTAAATTAAAATTTTAATTTATATTATTTTATTTGATAAATATTGATTTTTATTTTTTTATATATAACATATAAAATCTTTTTAACAGTATTTTTTATTTAATTTTTTAATAAAAACTTAACGAAAATAATATACTAATTAATTTAAATAGAAAATAGAAAAAAATCACAAATTAAATAAAAATATATATTTTATTTTAAAAATAAATAAGATGTTTTCATCTAAAATAAATAATATTTAATTTTTCATTCATTCATTCTTATTTCATATTAAATTCTACTCTAACATTGACAGTCATTTTCTATCCTCTTATTGATTAACTTTCAATAGAAGAACTTTTTATACTATGAACGTTATATTAGAGTCCTTTTGAAATTAATTGTGCATTTTTTTAAGCATTTTTAACTGCTTTATTTATTAGATCTTTTTTAGCTTTTTATATTTATTCATCATCAGGAGAGTATTAAACAAAATCAACTGTATTAAATCCATTTTCAATAGCAGTTTAAATCACTTCTTCGCCCTTTTCTAATTAAGAAGATTTAACTTAAATTTAATTTTTAACTTTATATCCTACATTTTATCTCTCTTTTTCTTTAGTAATCTTATTTTCTACTTCATCATAATCGTTTTAAATAGAAAAGCCAATAGTAGAAATTGTTAATTTATCATCTTTTTTTAATTCTTCTAATAACTACCTCATTATTTTTTTAAAGAGCTTATTCTTCTACTTTATCTTTAGCTTCATAAGAAAATTGCAATAAAAATTAAGTATATTTTAAATCTACAGATGCTTTTGTTTCTATTTCTAATGGTTCAGACAGATATTTTAATTTTTTTAACATAAGCATTTTTAATCTTATTCTTCTTAATATTATTATCGTGATTGTGATTATTATTATGGTTGCTAACTTTTTGGTTCTTATGGTTCTTATTGTTCTTATGGTTATTATGATTGTTATGGTTGTTATGATTGCTATGGTTGTTATGGTTGTTATGGTTGTTATGGTTGTTATGGTTGTTATGATTAT